CTCTAAGTCTAAGTCTACTTCTGGGTTACTACTACTGGACCACTACGAATATGAAGGATGGTTACGAGTTCTGATAATATGGGGGATAGCAACATTGAGACTGTAGGTTGAGGACTACTTGGGGGATCTGATTTCATCCACCTCTGGAGATGTATTTTGACATTGTGAAATAGATATCTGAGACACTGTGAGATTCTGTAGTCGCGACATTTTGGATTTTTGTTATTTCTGACATCTCGAGATACTATTTTTTGGAAACATCGAGTTGATGTCTTCCCTCTCCTCCTCCCTTCGTCTCTCCTTCCCTCCATTCATCCGTGTATGAGACTGAACCCTGGCCTTTTCTTCTATGTCCAAAGCCAGGGCTTTCACACCACCGATGCATGTTTGTCAGTGTTTCGTTGCGGTCCGAGTCAGGTCCGAGTCAGTCCATGTGTATTTGTATTAACTCTGTATTATCTGGTCGGTTCTGGGAATCTGTGCCATACTTATGACTGTGTTTCACGAGTATGCAACACAACTGTCTGGCGCTGACCAAGATTTGCAAAAATTGACGAGTCCGCGGCGCATTGAGATTCAGGGGGGCCGCCTTGACTGAGGGCGGGCACGCGCCTGCTGCAGGGCGCTATGCCGAGGCATAAACCCTCGCAAAAGGGCAATTTAAAACTGCTCCTGACTCCTGAGTCACCTTTTTAGTTTGAAATAGGCAAGAAAAGACAAACTGACACTGATGTCATTGTTCGAGTTTCAAAATGTGCAAATTTAGCGGGGGGATGAAACTGAAACTGCGGCCGTTTTTCTGAAGTGACGCGAATGCAGGTTTAGCGGAAGTTTTTTTTGTTTTTGCCCTTTTTCGAGAACTGCTAAAGTTGTCTATTAGAAACACTGGGTGTGACCCAGGAGACGTTGCCCCATGATAATCAAATGAACAAGCCAATGGGTCGCGCTCCACTACTCTAGGCTCACGAAAGGGCTGGCCTCGCTCCACTTACTGTTCAAGAACACTCGTGAAAATCCCCTTCGAGAGTTGTCAGGAGAGTGATGCAGGCAATTTCGAGAGTTACAAGCATCTGAATAGCTCTCGAACTACTCTCAAAAATTTTCAAGAGTCGTGAGTAGTGAAGACATGTCATATAAAAGATACATAAACATAGGATTTGAACATGTTACTTACGCAAGAATAAGACAACTCGTCGCTGAAGACCGGCGGGGTCCTCCTGGCTGCATGCAGGGGAGTCCAGTGCTTGCAACTCGGAGGTACGCGACAAAGGAGCGACCTTTTGCACCTGCACGCCGACGCCCATTCGATGGAGTTCCTTGCACACTTTATGGAAAGCGATGCGGAAAGGCTTGAACTGCGGATCATCGCCCAGGAAGCGAAAGGCCTTGATTTTTGAGCCTGAGATAGACTTGTTGTGAAGCATAACCTCTTCCTTGTGGGCACGCTCGAGGCCATGAATGATCGTCTTCAGAGTGCGAGGAGGATAACGGGACTCCACGGAATTCGCAGAGACGCTGCACTTTTTCCTCACAGAACTAACAAACAGGCTTAGCAGCTGGTTCAGCTCCATCACCGGCTGCTGGTGAAAAGACATCGACCATGTCTCGTAATGGGCCGAATTCTTCTGCGTCTCCAGCCAAGACTTGAAGATGTTCAGCGAGAACTTGGTCGATCTCCTCGTGTTCTGCACACAGATAAGTCATATACACACGCACACACACACACAGCACACCATATCATGTTAGCCAGCATTCCACGGTATCTGTTTGGCATGCGTACATGTCCACAGACTCCACACACAAAGATACCACCAATAGGGGCGCAGTGGTGCACACACACACACACACACACACACACACACACACACACACACACACACACACACACACACACACACATTCCTCTTTTGTGATTTTTTCTTAGTTTTTGTCTGTCATGGTGAGCACCTTTAAGCTGTGCTAAGCAGTCGGTTGTCGGTGGTTTGGTGTGCCTTTGGCACTTATAGGGGGCCCGCTCTGTTCGTGATGTCTGTGAGATGCATATGGTCTATGGGGGATGATAGGCGTCCGTTGGAGTACCTTCCTGGCTCAGCAGGTGGTGTGAACCAACAGTCTGCGGGGTTCACCCCTGATGTGAGTAGTTGATGTGCCGCTCTGCTCCATGTTGGATGTGTAGACTGCCTTGCCTTGTCTGCGCTCAACCGTTGCTTTGCTGCTCGCGTGTCATTCATTGTGGGTTGTTGTGTTTCTGTGTGGTGTGGCTGCCTTGTTGGTGTCGCCCTGTGCTTCCCTGCACTGCTGCCTTGCTGCCCATCCGCATGCCTTCCCTTCCGCGTTCCCTTCTTGTGTTTCGTGTGGTGTGGCTGGTGTGTCGGGGTTGCCTTGTGCTTCGCCGCACTGTTGCCGTGCTGTTTGTCCGCTTGCCCTGTCCTTTCTCGCCGTCGTTTTTGGCGTTGTGCAGTTGAGTTGCTCGCTGGGTTGGCACCCGCTGCTATGTTCCGCTGGGGGACAGTCTGCCTTCAACATGGGTCAAAGGGTTCATGACCCAAACCATCAATAAGGGCATTCCGCAGATTGTCAAGGGTTCAGCCTCCTGATGAGTCAGTGCAGCTCCAACGAAACAATATATCATCATTTTTTATTTTATTTTTCTGGTCTTGTGATGTTTTTTGGCCGTGTAATTTTTTCTGGTTTGCCTGTTTTGTGTGCTTGTGTGTCGTCTGCCCTCCCGCCTCGCCCTTGCTTTCCAGCCCTTGTTTTTTGCCGTTGCCTGTTGTCCGATGCCTTGTTGTCTCGTGCCAGGCTTCGTGTGCCCACTGCCCAGTGCCCACCCGCCTCCCCCCTGCGGGGCCTGGCCTCCACCCTTCGTCCCTTTGCCTTATCGTTGTTGTTACTACTTGTCATCCTTTCCCTTGTCGCCTGATGCCCTTTCCTTCCCCGTTTTCCATCTGTCTTTCCCTTTTTGCCTTCAGCTGTTTGTCTGCCCGCCCGCCTCCCTCATGCCCTCTAGCCTTTGTGTTGCCTCGCTGTCTGGAAAAATGATATTTTTATTAATGGCCTCTAATTCTGGAAGTCTGCAGTAACGTCCGGATTGGTCACTGGAAACGTAGAGGTCAAGTTGCTAGTCACATTACCCCTGCCCCTGGCTATAACCTAACGTCTGCCGACACTTGTCCGAGCTCATATAGTATGTATATCATACTATCAACAAGGCTTCGCAGTATTCACACACACTAGAAAACACACCAACACACACATACACACACACACACACTGGAAAACACACACACCCACACACACACACTGTGACACACACACACACACACACACACAGAGAGA